TGTATAACTTATCAAAATATAACTTTGTAATGGTCAAATCAATGGTCCCACCTAATAGGTTTTTATGATCTATATTTGTATTGAAAACTATTATGAAGTTTTATATGGCGTAAAGACACTTGATACACTCACATTCATATCCTGTATATGCAATGTCACGTAATCATATCTAAACAAGCATTAAACGTGCAGAAAATAGATCTTGTGTGTGTGTGTATTTGTGTTTCTGTACCAATGGACTTAAATATCACAATGGAATTTAAGACAGTAATCAGCAGCCTGTTAAATATAATATATAATATAGTAAATCTATTGTTCAGCTAGACCTTCTCATATACTGTTGGCTAGATCTGTTAACTGCGACCGGCATATTGATTACACTTGACATTCAAGTGTTGACTCACTAATCAGTACTAATTATAAACATTATCATTTATTTACATGAACAAACATTAACAACTCCATTGATCAAAAGCACAATTTGAAATGAGATTAGTTGGAGTTGCATCCACGTATGAGAAAATTGCCACCCAATAAGCAATTTGAAGAAAAATGTAACTCAAAAATAAAAGATATATTTTTTATATAAATTAAAATTAAGAATATTATAATCATCTTACTAAAAAAATTGCTAATTCAAAAAGTTCAAAAATTTTAGGTTAGTAGGATTTTTTAAAATAAATATGAGAAATTCATAGAAATCAATTTGTTGAGCAAGGATGCATTAAATTGATCAACAGTGACAGGTAAAGATATTTGCATAAGTCTCAATGCTTTTCTTTTAAACTTTCTGTTCATCTATATCACAGTTTCCACAAAGTTTGCACAGCGGTTTTCAACATTAATAGAATGTGTCTTGAGCAGCAAATCAGCTATCAGAATGATTTCTGAAGGATCACGTGACACTGAAGATTGAAAATTCAGCTTTGCATCACAGGAATAGATTACACAATACTAGAGTTTTATTGTATTTTTTTATTTTTATTAAATGCAGCTATGGTGAGCATAAGAGACTTCTCTAAAAAACATTACCAAAATGACCTAAACGTTAGATGTTTTGAACTACTTTCTTATTTAATAAATATAAAACAGTAGATATTTGCACACCTGTGTCCACATATCAGTTAAATCCTTTAATTACTTTGCGGAAGAATTTTTTGTTTGTTTTGATTATTTATTGAACATTTCATATTGCTGTCGTTGCACTTCATTTCATACATAATGACACTTCTCACTCATGGTAAAATCATAGTACCTCTCAAGTAGGGACCTTGTGTTCTCCCAGCGTCCTCCCATTGTTTCATCTGAAAGCTTCAGTGCTGCTCTCCAGGGTCCTGAATTGCTGCTTTCACACCCGATGCTCTCTCACTCTTCAAAGCAACCACACAGAGAATGACAGTCTGTGCACTCTGGGGTGCTTAAGAATGCCAATGAATTTGAGCTCCTGTAATGATTTCAACAATCATATATTTTGGAATTACATTAATAGTCCTGATTTTTTTTTTTTACATCATTAACACCACACAATTTTCATTACTGTAACCATTTAAAGAGAGAGAGAGCGAGAGAGAGAGAGAGAGAGAGAGAGAAAACATTCACTCACCCTCATGTCATTCCAAACCCATGACTTTCATTCTTTTGTTTATCACAAAGGTGAATTTTTGACAAATATTCAGCTCAGTCTTTTCAAGTATAAAAAAGTGAATGAGAACCAGGGCTGTAAAGTTCCAAAATGACAAAAAGCTCTATTCTATCATGAACATATCTTAAAAGTACTTTTGCTCTATATTCTTAGTCATACAATAGCTTTATGTGAAGAACAGATCATGATTTAAGTATACAGGTCTACAGATGAAATTAAGCATTGTAGTTAATTCTGGGGCTGTCATTTACTGTCCACTGTGTAAAGTAAAATTAAATTAAATTAAAATAATAAAAATCTATTCAGTGAAAATCGTGACAGTCAAAATATCTGCAGTGATCTTCAGAAGAAAAACAATATTTATTTCAAAACACAAATACTGTTGATTTCCAAATATACACACAACAAAACCGTATGTCATCTCCTGATACTCATTTGGCTTTATAATAATTTATGCAAAAGATAAGTAACTTCTGAAAGAGCTTTACAGTTTTGTGAGATGACAGATTTCTTCTCACTTCATGTGTAACACGAACAAATGGACAAAGCAATAAAAGACAAATGAACGACTTAAGTCATTATTTGCAAATGAATGAACATATAAAGTATGTGTTATCTCCCTCTGCATCAGCTTTAGGATAAGTTAATGGACGGTGGATAGCAAAATAAAAGTATTCCGACTGAATAAATGAAAAAGCACCACTGCCTGAAACTTCAGAAATGATTATGAAGAGATGCTGTGTGAGAAATCTCTTTCAAACTTCACAGTTCCTGATTAGCAAAACATTCGCCATAGACATACACGTGACATAAACAATAAAAAGTGCCGTTTTCTCCCATTCATTGTGGGTAAATTATCGTTCGTGTCAGACCTCAAACTGTCTAGACTAGCATAATGCCCCGTTCACACCAAGAACGGTAACGGTTGGTTATAAAAGTCGTTCTAACTAAGTGTGTTGATTTCAGTCTTAGAATGTTTCAACTAGTCGTGTAGTGTGTCCCTGCTTAGAGGACTCCAAACCAGACCACAACTGTAATAATGACGCGGTGGAAAGATGTCTTTGGGACAATGTCGAGGGCGCTTCTTTCCAGCTGATAAGCGATAAAAATATTGACTGTGAATAAAAACCATGATAAAAACCCAACCGACTGTAAAAGTGTGTGCTGCTAATAGCTTCACAGAAATACGTTATGGCCCGCTGTGTGTAGTTGACATGACTTCAGCAAACAATTAGGTTTTAAAATGGAAATGATATCGTTATAACCACTTTCAGAACTATTATATCCAGCTGATGAAAGAAAAAAAAAAACACTGACAGTCTATCAGAATCTATTCGACTTTATAGAGCTCGAGCATTTATAGTGGCAGACTACATTTATTGCTGCACGCGCTTATTAAGGGCTGAAACCCTATTGTAATTGTTAGAATGGTCAAGGATCAGCATTCTCCATTAAAAGTGATCGGGCAGACCAAAACGTAAGTCGTAGAGACTTAGAGGGACGGTAGTACTCACACCGTCTACAATGTCACCAAGGCTCACCCCAATCGGCCTGATGGTGGCGCTACAGCAATCAAAAGTACGAAATCGCTCATAACTCTAAACCGTTAGTCGCAGGCTCAAGTGTCTTATTCCACTGGAATCCTTGGCTCACGACAGACAAAACGCATGCCTCGGATTCGATCGTCGAAATTTTAGTGTATTAAGGATTTTTCTGAAAAACCTACTTTTGCGAACTAGTCCAAGGTTTTTTTCCTGATCAGAACCTGGGGAGTGAATATCAATAATTATCAAAAAAGATGAACTTTCGACTCAATGTCGCGACGGGACGCCAAAACGTTCGTAAGGGGCGGAGCCACTTTTACTAAAAAGCATATAACTCTTGAATGGAAAGAGATATTTTCACCAAACTCGGAACACGTATGTAAAAGCTCAATCTGAAGTCACAATAAAAAAAACGCCACTTGGTGGCGCTATAACAGGGAAAAACAAAAATGGCTATAACTACGCACCCGTTATTCCGATCGACTTGAAAATTGGTATGCAGTGTCTTTGTCCAAAGTGCCACAAGGATATTCATGTATCTCAAAAAACATGACCGCCATCAGCCAGTGAATTTTTATCACCTATTAAACAAGGTTAACAGAGGTCAAACGGAACGAAACTCGGTGGGCATGTTCAACTCATGGCCCTAGGGGTCTGTAAGAATTTTGAAAGAAATCGGCCACAAGGTGGTTCTAAAGAGTTTTATGCCTCTGTAATCAGGTGGTGTTTCACACACCCATACAATATTCATATCATTTGATAGATATCCTCATATTGAGCAACTGCCTTTTGTGAGCAACACAAAACCACTGCTGTCATTCAAATCATTCATTAAATATTCTCGATTATTTAAAAAAAATGACTTTTGTGAACTAGTCCTAAACTACTTTTGCGAACTAGCTCAACCTCAATATAAGCACTGCAGCATGATTCTCTGAATTCTAGATCAATAATCAAAAAAATAAATGTTGAACTTTACCTTTTGAGTAGCTTATAACGGGGTCATTTTAGAAAAGGGGGCATGGTCAAATATACCCAAAAGCCTATAAATTCTAAACGAAAAAACTCAAAACTTCACCAAACTAGATGAGCACATGCGACAGATGATTCTAAATAATCATGCAAAGTTTTATGGAGATCGGACCGTAGGTGGAGCTATAACAGCCACAAATGTTAATAAACATAATATTTCTATGATAAATTACCTGCAATTGACAAAAATGCTCTTTTTAATCATTGATTTATCTGGCTACAGGCTTGTTAAATAATACACAATGTCTTGTTCTTATGTGCTTAAATGTCTTAAAGTGCTTGAACCCCAGTAATCGCTGCTTGCAGCTATATTATTAAATAGTTATTGTCCGTTGGTGTGGACGCTAATGTAGCATCGGTCTTAGTATGAACGGGCTTTAAAAAGGATAGTCCACATAACTTTTACGATAACGGCAGGCAGTTCGTTGGATTGGAATCTCTTTCAGAGTGATTTTTCCAGATGAACGCTATAAACATTGACAGATATTCCAAATCAATGCAATAAACATAACGTTATTCTCTGTTGATGCGGACCTATTGTTATAGATTTCGTTCTTGGTGTAAGAAATACTATAAGTAGGGATATGTTCATGTTCTGTGTGAATGCAATACTCTTCTGTTGTAATTATCTCATTATTTGTCCAAAAAAAAAACCCAAGACCAAAAGAATCATTAAGGGAATCATTTTGCAAAACATCCTTATGACTCTCATCCCTAATAATTGCATTAATAATACATTTGACTACAGGACATAAAAACCCCACAATTTCTCACTCCTGTCTGCTGAATATTCCTACTTCCTTAAGAAACAGACATATTTTTGGTGTCTGTTCCATTTTGAGTCCATAAGTAGGTGGTGTGCCATATTCTAGGTAGAGATAAAATAATTGCAGAAGTTGGACAAGAACTTTAGAAAAAAACTTTGATAGATGAGATTGTCTGGTGGATATAAATGAAAGGTTGAGAGACTGAGACAATCCGTTTAGGTGAGAATATTTGAGTTTGCTTCTGAATCACTTGTATTCCTAGTTTATCCTTTGCTTAGCGTGTTTGGCCCCAGGGTCCCAAAGTCCCAGCGTCTGGATTTTTAATGAGTGTGTCCCATGTCTCCTCACAGACTGACAGGAAACAATGTCCCTGTTACATAGTCGTCTCTTCCCACTCCAATTCTACATCACCTGAGAGAACAAACACGACAAAATACGTTTCCATCAAGACAAAGCAGAAGAATGACAGAGATCTTTAATCACCAGGCTCACTGCACTGCACAAGTCATTGACTGTAGGATGTATTTTACCCTCCATCGCATCCAGCGAGTCCATCTTCTCCAGAGCGGAGTAATTTACAAACCATATGGACTGACTGTTTCCTTTTGCAGACAGCAGATCCAGAGTGCTCTGATGCAGAAACATGTACTGAGCCTGAGAGAGAGGCACATATCAACATCATCTGAGCAGGAGAACATGATCATCTCACACAAGTCTACAGAGACTGAACTATTTTTGCAATATAAAGTGAAATCTGTCAAATTTTAAATAGGTTTACCAGGTTTTGCACCATGCACATCCTCTCACTGCGCAGCTCTGCGACCAGGCCATATATATCCACAAAATCATGATCCCTCACATGCTGAATGAGATGATCCAGGGCAATGAACACTCCAGTCCTGCCCACACCAGCACTGCACATACAGACATTACATCCATGTCTTTTTAGTGAAAAAGGGTCAATTTTTCGAAATTGAGATTTATACATCATCTGAAAGCTGAATAAATCAGCTTTCCATTGATGTATGGTTTGTTAGGATAGGACAATATTTGGCTGAGACACAACTATTTGAAAATCTGGAATCTGAGGGTGCAAAAAATCAAAATATTGAGAAAATCGCCTTTAAAGTTCTCCAAATTAAGTTCTTAGAAATGCATATTACTAATCAAAAATTAAGTTTTAATATATTTACAGTAGGACATTTTTGGCATAAAAGAAAAATCTATAATTTTGACCCATACAATGTATTTTTGGCTATTGCTAAATATACCCCAGCGACTTAAGACTGGTTTTGTGGTCCAGGGTCACATATGTAAAACTAAGACCATGAAAACACTTTTTTGTAACTTAACGTAAAACATAAAATATAAAAAAATATATATAAAAAAAAAAAACTAAAAACTAACTCAAAATAACTAAAATAAAAACTATAATATTATCTCGATGCTACTAAAATAACACTGGCCAGTCCTAAGGAAGCCTGTTTTGCATAAGAGATAAGATAAGATAAGAAAAAACAAAAAACAAACATGCACCGGTAACTGTAGAGAAAAGCCTCAAGACTTCCTGTTAATCTAATGGGCAAATATACACACCTGCAGTGGACCATGTTGGTTGTGTTGTCATGGCCTCTGTGTGAGCGAACCGCTTTGACAAACTGGATGAGTGTGGAGCTTGACTCCGGAACGCCGTGTTCTGGCCATGAGGTGTAGTTAAAATGATGAACAATCATGTAACTTCCGTGCTGGAGAGAGAAAGAGAGAGAGGAAGGGCTAAATGTGTCCTTGGGGACTAATTATCTACCTAACCACCCACATCTGTGTTATTGTGCATTTTTGGACTCATAGTAAGGCCACAGACATACTCAAGTATGCATATGCAGACTCAACTACACAATCAGCACATACAAGCATGCGGCCCCATGGTACATAAATTTTTGTGGCAATAAAAAAACTCATTACTTCAGGGGGCGACAGAGATTTCTTTCAATTAAACTGGATGCCATTTAACTGGACGTATAAATTCAACTAGCTAGCAATAAACATGTCAGCAACTTCTCTTCAACTGATGCTCTGCTATGACAGCGGTTGATCTAAAAGATAAAAATGACATTGTAAACTGTTTTACCCTCTCTACTCTGAGTGCCCGGACCGTCCAATCAGGATGCACGTCTTCTGTGAGTTTAGTGATTATGATGTCAGCAAAAACAGTGACGGGTTTATTGTCTTCTGGCCAGTACTGATGACAGCGGACCTAAAACATACAGCCACATTACATGTATAGTTTATTATTATGATGCATATATTTCAGCAGATCACTGTCAAACATTTGTTTTAGTTGTGTTTTGGATATAAATTCTTCATATAGACCGACAAGGAGGTAAAATTAAATGAATATGGATAAAAGTCTGAATTAATTAACAGTATCTACATATTACACATACTCTTAAGTGTAAATAAAGTGTAAAAAGTTGAAAATAAATCATGTAAAATAAATAAATAACAAAAATAACAAATAAATAAAAAAAACGAATTAATTCAGATGTACAAAATTTGATATTACTGTTTTTATTTTTACTTTTTAAAGGTTAATACATGAAACAACGCTGTAATGGTGGGTAGAAAATGTGCATATTTATAATATTTATACACATTTATATTTAAATAAACAGGTTTTATACATTAAATAAATACATAAAAGATAAATTTTTCACTGTATAAATGAGTATACATACTTCTATTTAACGTATAAAATCCATTTATGCAGTGAAAAATATAAATATTATAATATATCTGCCTTTATATTTTAGGAAGGAAGTCTCTCACAAAGGCATTATGATATTTATGAGTCAATGGCATCAAAACTAGAGAAAAAAAGTTATTTGTTGGACTCCTTTGATTCTCCTATGACATCAGACTGTAAAACCTTAGAACATATTTTTAAGATAATATATAAGAGTATATACAAACATAAATCTAACGGCTAAATTGTTTTATTCAAACACACACATACACACCCGGCCCTTCTCAAAGCATTGAGTGAGCATGACGATGGTTTTGGTCCCCGTCTCCCAAATCATCCTCCAGAAGTCAGCGACAGTACTAGGCAGAGGACCCTGAGTGGCTATAAACTCATTAGGACACAGATAGCCCTGAGACACAGAGACAAGACACAGAACAGGAGCTTAGGCCAATTCAATTAAAGTTGTGCCTCGGTATAAAAGAGAGAGACAGCTGATATGTGGGCTGCTCTCGAGCGCTTACAGAGACGAAGCTGGCATTGATGTAGTCCGACCCCGGCATTCCTGGCTCAGACAGTAACTTCACTCGGCTATTGTTATCTAAGAAAGACATGTTAAAATGTTAACATTGACTACGTTTACATGGACATCAATAATCTAATTATTTACCTTTAATTAAAGCTGCGACAGTTGAGTGCATGAAGTGTTCAACATTCCACACTTCGTTTTTTCGGTTATTTAATTGCATCATCCGGGTATTTAAAGTGCACTTTTTCTTTTTGGAATTTTCAGTGTGAAAACACTACTCACACTATTTATACTACAAAACATCATAGAATAGTGCATAAGTACGCGATTTGGGACGCACCTCGAGTTTGTCTTCGTGATGATGCCATGTACAGTTTTGTGTGTTTCATTTTTAATGTACTGAAAGCTTCAAGTGCAGTTAATTATTTGTCATGCTATACGTGCAAACAGACGACGGTGTTGTTGAAGCCATGCTCTTTTGTTTGCCGTCAAATGGTTGACCACTGCCGTGTCTGTATCCTGTCGCAAAATGTGGCGAAAAGTCCTACACAACGGTAATAATGTGATTAAGGTGTGTTCATATCTTTACTGCACTTCAATAATGCGACTCAAATAGGAATACTCAACATGTCTTAATTCGATTTCTGTTTACTTCGAGTATGACTTTAGCCGGATTACGGAAATCAAAAATCTCTGTTTACATGGTAGAGTCTTAATCAGAGTATTGTCTTAATCATGTTAAAATCGGAATATTGTTGTCCATGTAAACGTAGCGATAGTTTATAGAAAGCAAGCCTGGTAAGTTTCAAAGAAATAAATATCTTCGAAATTAAAATTCTGTCATCATGTTCTTACCCTCATGTCATTCAGAACCTGCAAGACTTTTTTTGGAACAAAAATAAAACATTCTGAATAACAAAACAAAAAAAAGACCTATAAAAGTAGTTCATGGGATAATTTCTAACTATGATATGATAATCTGTAGTACTAGTAGCTTCTTATTGCCTATTTACATTTGAGAAGATTTGGAGAAGATTCTCAACTAAGAACGGCTAAAATTTTGCTCTGTTCATCATGCAAAGCTATTAAGATTTTTTTTATTTTTTTTTGAGAATTAATATTTTTATTCTTTTATTTGTTACTTTTTACAAAAAGATGTCTAATTGTATCATGGGTTCCACCCCAAAAAAATTAAGCAGTACAACTATTTTCAAAATTGATAATAATAAGTAATGTTTCTTGAGCAGCAAATCAGCATATTAGAATGATTTCTGAAGGATCATGTGACACTGAAGACTGGAGTAATGATGCTGAAAATTCAGCTTTACATCACAGGAATAAATTACATTTTAAAAGAAAACCGGTATTTTAAATTGAAATATAATTTCACAATGTTCCTGTTTTTACTGTATTTTACTTTTGAATAGTAGTGTAGCACACTTACTTTTTCACTTCCAGTGATAAATAAGAAATGAATCTATGTGAAGTTCACCACACGATATAATTAGAGGAAGACACACAAACATAAAACGAATCGGAGAGTCACTCCATGTGATCTTTCAGGCAGAACTACACAAAGCAGAACAGAACTACAGAGCAGCATTATGAAACCGAACAGCCCCAAATTATGGCAAAGCAGATAATTTAGTGCGGCATATTCATTCATAATAAAACATTCAACGTCAGTACTAACAGCACAACATGCAACTGAGAAAATAAAACGTGTAATCTTTAAAACGAACGAAAATACTGATACTACACATCACATGGGATCATGCATCATCTAAACACCAACATCTCTGTCTACTTACTGGATGACAAAAATCTCCTTCCTTCTAAAGAAAAAGGAGGAATACCTGAGAACAGAGGATAGTGCAAGTGTTTGAATGGATTAGTGAGAGTGAATGAATTAAAGGATGAGTGAGTGAGTGAGCCAATGAGTAAATTAGTGAGTAAGAGAGAGAGCAGAAGACACATATAAATCACATATAAACACAGTTAACTAAAGCCCACTGCTCATGTACAGCATGTGGACGATGTCTCACCGGTTAATCTTCTCCTCTTTGAGCTCCAGGTCGGCCACTGCAATGAGCTGATCCAGCTTGAACTTGGTCTCAATGACCTCAGCCTCGCGTGGAGAGTACGTCCCACCTTCCTTCTGCCTGCGGTGGATCCTAGGATCGGAGAGAGTGAGTCCAGTTGTTAAACTAGGAAAACCAGGGGCCTTTTGTGAAATACTATTGGAGTATGTTGTTGCATCCATATTTACAACAACACTCAACTTACCTGACAGATCCGTATATAATCAGAATTAAAAACAACGCCAGGAAAAATGACAGCAGGACTCCAAGAATGATCTGCTCATCTCTGGTCAGCAGGCGGTTATCTGAAATCACAGTCAATATTTATACACAGCAGAAGCAGTACTTTTCACATTGAAATGTACTGTTCTACAAGCCCAGCATTATAGAAGGTACACGTATAAGAACATAAGTACATTTTTAATGGATTTATATGAAATGTCTTGAAGAAATGCTCACCAAGGCTACATTTATTTGATCAAAAATACAGTAAAAACAGTAAAATTGTGAACAATTATTCACAATTATATTCAAAATACCAGTTTTTTATTTTAATATATTTTAAAATGTAATTTATTCCTCTGATGCAAAGCTGAATTTTCAGCATCATTACTCCAGTCTTCAGTGTCACATGATCCTTCAGAAATCAGTATAATATGCTGATTTGCTGCTCAAGGAACATTTCTTTTTATTATCAGTGTTGAGAACAGTTGTGCTGCTTCATATTTTTGTGGAAACCATGATGAATATAAAGTTCAAAAGAACAATTTCATTTGTCCTTTGCTGAAAAAAAAGTCTTAATTAAAATGAAATGGTAGTGTACATAAAAAAGGAGAAATGCTAACCAAAATATCATAAGACAATATAAAATTATTTCTATTTGCAATTTTAGGGGAAACTGAATAAAAAACAATATTAAAAAGTAAAAGTAAGATAACATACTGTAAAGTTATATAAACAAATTTTAAACCGTGTGTCAATAATTTATAAAATAAATAACTGAAAAGTAAAAAAACATAAAAGTTGTAATTAGTAAAAAAAAAAAAAAAAAGGAATAGGAATATTTTAAAATTAAAAACAGAGGAGGTGCAATGATTTAATCACCCTCAAAGTTGCTATATGTCATATCTGTACGACTTATTTTCTTCTGTGGAACACAAAAGAAAATTGTTTTGAAGAATATCTGTTCTTTTTTTTTATATAATGAAAGTGAATAAGGACTGGGGCTGCCAAGCTCCAAAATTAAAAAAGCACCATAAAAGTATCATAAAAGTTGTCCATACGATTAAACAATGACAGAATTGTTATTTTGGGGTGAACTATCTCTTTAACTCAATGTGAAAAATACTGAAAGTATATTAAAAAAAAACCAATACTGAAAGTACGAAAATCTGAGAGGGAAAATGTGAGCGAGACATCACAGCTGGTCTCGGTGCATTAATATTGTAACAGTCCTTGTGTGCTACTTGCGTCCATTCCTGCGGTTCTGACCCTATCTGAGTACTCAGAGTCTGTGTACTGCCCACGGATGTTTGTTGCCCGAAATTTGAACCTACAATACAAAAAATAAACAGTTGGAAACAGGTTGGATTAAAATATTTACAACACAGATTAGTTGTGTGTGCCTATGCCTCTCACACATAATATGTTTTGGGTTTGAGGGGTCCGTTACAAAGTGTCTCGGCATCTTCAGACAGGCAGCCCTCATCTGCTCCTATAACGTATGTTTTAGTGTTTGTGCTCATGCGCTCTGCTTTCTCCAAGCACTTTGGGTTCAAGAAGCCCTCGTCGGTCAGGTACGGTGCGGTAGGGTAGAGGAAAACACTTTTCCAGTTTGACAGATTACCGTAGTCCATCACTGCATCAACATTAGAACAACAAGATACCAATAAACCTTTCTAATGTTTTGAAAGAAGTCTCATTTGGTCACCAAGGCTGCATTTATTTGATCAAAAATTCAGTAAAAACTGTAATATTGTGAAGTAATATTCTGAATATATTTTAAAATGTCATTTTAAAATAATTTTTATTTAATTTCTTTACTGTCACTTTTGATTAATTGAATGCATCCTTGCTGAATAAAAGTATTAATATCTTTTTTAAAAATCTCCTTAAAGTGCCATTATTGCTAGTGTTAAATGTCATTTTTTTAATACCTGCTGGTTCAGAAACAATGACCTGGACTTTTTGGATTGGTCCATGGTCATCTGTAAAGAAACATTCAGGCATCTCAATGGTGATGGTGTTGGAGGTAGAGATGATGACACCTGCGTTGTTCAGAGCAGCCCGCGGCCTCCTCGACGGTTTGGGTGGTGCTAAATAAACCCGCCAGAATCTTAAAATGACAGACACTTCAGCAAAATACTATAGCTGACTAACAAAGCATTAGGTTTTCTCATACCTTTCACACCTGTGGTCACCTGAACCTCTGAACTTGGTCCTAAACCTGCTCCATTCACGGCTGCTATCTGCAACCAGTACAAAACAAATGCATTTAGCCTAATTGTGGAAGTAAGCAAACAGCAACAAGTACCATTCTGTGCAGGTGAAGTTTTAGTATTTAAAACCAAAAGGAATAAAAACATGATTTAAAAGATTGATGCAAATATTGCTTTCCATTTTTGGTGCTGCCTTCTCTGTTGTTACCTAGATACAGCTTTAAATAGCTGCCGCCAGTGCTCACAGTGGTATCAGATGATGCAAACGTACTTCAGTTCAGTACACTCTCAGAAAAAAAGGTACAATAGCTGTGTTTGGGGGGGGGGTTACCCTTTCAAAAGGTACTAATATATACACTTTAGTTACAAATATGTATTTTTAAATTCTTAATATGTACCTTTAAGTACTAATATGTACTATTTAGGGGTAAATAGGGTACAAAGATGTATCTTTTAGCTTTTGTATCTTAGGGTACTGCCCCAGTGATGGCTTTGTAGCTTTTTTTTGCCTTTGAGTGTATGAAAGAGACCTGTGCATGTAAAGGAAGAGGCTGGAGATGCACTTTGGAGCAAACAATCAAACCAAGTGAAAAAAAGTTGGTGTGAATGCTACTAAAATGTTTAGGTTTTAGTTTCCTACCCTTATGCTATAATTGAATCCACCCTTCAGTCCATCTATAATGGCCGTCATGGTATTATTAGGGTTGCTGATCACAGGCAGGCTGTTGATGTAGAAGTCCAGTTGTCCGTTGCGATAGATGGCGACATGGTAAGCACTAATGTTTCCATTCGGCTCATCCGGTGGAGAGAACGTTACATAAACACGTGTCACTTCCTCTGGGATCACCGTCAATGTCACGTTTTTGGGAGGATCTTTGGGCTCTGGGAAAACATGACCATGAATGTCACAAATAAGTCATGCATGCATGCATTCAATGGATATCTGATAATCAAGCATGCACAAACATCCTCACCGTCCTCCAGGGTTCTGGCGAGGACGGGTTCAGATGCTTTGCCGTCTGTGCGAGCATTGGAAAGCTGCCCCGTGAAGGCGGTGATGGTAATAGAGTACAGGGTAAATGCAGTCAGGTTCCCGACAACCACCACCCTGATCTCCTCTGAATACCGCACTAGGCTTATGTTATATCCCGAACCGTCCAACTGAAAGAGGACAAGGAGAAACTGAAGCAGAAACTTTCAGAAAGTCAACAGATGAACAAGATTTCTCAAGTTTATGAACTCACAGCAGTGATGTCAATGATGTATGAGGTGGGCCCTGAGATGACCGATGGTTCGTCCCACACAATCTTTAACCCAGTGGGAGAAGGAAACACTGATATGGCACTAGGGGGGGCATCAGGGTCTAAAACAAAACAAATAAGGGTTTGCTATATGCATATGACAACCCAAGGGAAAATTATATAGCTAAAAATCTCAGGAGACTTAATAAATGTTTCCTCTAAGCTGTACTTCTCATATTGCTCCCACGTAGACCAAAGAACGCTCTCTGCAAAAGGCAAATACTTAAAAATGTGTGGAAAAAATGTCGATCTCGAGAGTTCTTGAATCAAAGCTAATGGATTGGGCTGCGTTTCAACAATATTGGCCATTGATTTCCAGTATGGAACTAAAATCGTGAGAATGCAGCACTGATTCACAAGATCCCTGAACACTGCAGAGATTTCATAGCAGTGTCAAACAGAAGTGAAAGACAAATGATGTATTCCAAACACAGTGAAGCTCACAGAGGCCATGCAAATATTAATATCTCGTTGCTTGTCTCAGAAAAAACAAGAAAAATAATGTTTGGCCTCTAGATATATTTTCTATTTATTTCCTTTTTTTTTTGGAAACTATAGACACATTTTGGAAAAAAGTAAAAAAATTACTTATTTTTAATTTTTAAATTCATTTTAAAAATATATAGACAAATAAAAAAGAAACAAAATTACAAATAT